CAGCCAAGATCACGGTCCACAGTATCGACAGGCCTAGTGGCCTGCGGCGAAGAGCGCACGCGAGAGGCCCAATGGCCAAGACCGCAGCAAGCACATTTGTACCCAGGAGCGGGCCGCGCCGTTAACGACAGGCACCCTGGAACGGGCAGCGCCGTTACGACAGGCGCCGCCGCCGGGCATGCAATGTGTTCCCCGCCTTCTCCAGTCAATCCCCCGCTCATCCCTCCCAGCGCACGAGGTGCGAAGCGCTGATGGCACGCGCGAGGGCGGCCGAATGACCAAGGCCGCGTGCGAGAGCATGGCCACCACCACCTCCACCCCCACCACCACCTCCACCACCACCACCACCACCACCACCACCACCACCACCACCACCACCACCACCACCACCACCACCACCACCACCACCACCACCACCACCTCCACTCTTTCTGATCACCGCCTCGGACGTGCCGTGCAAGAGCAAGAGGCGGGAGGCCCATCGGCCAGGGCCCCCTTCTTCGCTCCGTGAGAGGCCGATCGCCAAGGCCACGCGCTTGATGGACGCGAGAGGCCGAACGGCCAGGGTCGCGCGTGAGATCAGGGATCTGCCTGCCCCACCTCCTCCTCCTCCTCCTCCTCCAGCGGACGTGCCTTGCAGGAGAGACGGCAGGAGTCCCTCGCTCGCCCACTGCGGCGGGCAAGAAGACGGCCAGGGTCTGGCCGAGAACGGCAGAACTCGCCACGGGCATGCCGATGGAGTTTGAAGGTGAGCTGAAGGCACACAGGCAAAACAGGCAGGAAGAAGGCGAACGTGAGAAAGAAGGGTAGGCCAACGCGACTGATCCACCCTCTCGCGGCCAGCCCGCGCACCTCGGGAGACGGCGAGCGACGGTGGCCTCCACACGTTCCAGCAGCCTGCGGGACAGCTCCAATATTACAGTCAACCCGCATGGTAAGGATGGGCAACCTTCCCAAGGGCACCCTTTGCATCCTTGCCTCCTCGGTCCATCCTTGGCCACTTCTGTTGGCCGCGCCCCGCTCGGAAAGCTCCGAAATGGCCTTCCAAGGCCCTTGCATTCTTATCGCGCATCCTTATGATACGAGCCGACTGTAGGCCACATGGGTATGCCGGGCCTACCACCGCTCCAATGAAGGCGTGCAGCATCAGGCCGAGGGAGACGAGGAAATGCCCATTCCAGGGGCTGACAATGGAGCGGTGGTAGACCCAATCACTAACCCCAGCGGTCACCGAGCCACACGGCACACGGCATCAACATCCGCAGGCTTAACGCTCCGCTTGATCATCTGAATTTTCGCTACAACGCTACTCCTCATCAAGCCTCTCATCGCAGGCCACGAGGTTGACACCAACACCAATATCGGCTGCGTGCCTCCACCGAAGGAAAAAGATCCCGGTCTCGGTGATGGTGGTAATGTTTTGGCTTCCAAGGTGGCCGAAATATTACCACCCACACCGAAATCCAGGATCCTTTTTCCCCTGTGGAGACAACCCTCTTGTGTTGGTGTTGGTGCCAATTTCCAGGCCTGCAATCTCATAAAATCTCCTGGAGCACGCCGAGCTGCACGACGCTCGGCAGTGAACAGGACACGGTGGTGCCTGAGATGATGGGGATGGGCGAGCGGAGTGGAGAGGGTGGTTCAGGAGGGAAACGAAAACACACAGACACCATTAATCGTCGATTCCCAAGAAAATATGGGAAAACATATGGGAAGTGGGGGGGAAGACAAAAACCCAGAAGATACATGAACATCTAGGGAATCTTGTTATTTGCGTCTATTTATTGTGTGTCCCAGGGCCCCTTCAGTGGCGACTGCGGCGTCGGTCAATCAGCAGGCCAAGAGTTGGCAGGACGGCGCCATCACAGTTGCGAGTGCAAAACGAAATGCGCCTCGACTCAAGCAGGCCTCATCTATGTAGTAGTCCACCTGAATTTGCGCGGCCTTGCCGTTCTGGACGTCCTCGCCCATCTTCGCAGTGAGCACGTCGAAGACGTAGTCGACGGCCATGACATGATGGTGAAAAAATGGTAGCTTTATTTGCGAGAAGCCTTGCGGAATCTACCCCGCGACGGGCAGGGACCCTTGGGAATGGCGGGGAGCATGCCGCATTCAACGCCAGAGGTACCCCATACCTTCCAGGACTGCCAGCAGGTCGGGGACGTTGAGCTAGGTGTGAATACAGAAGAGGAGTTCGTTGTGGACATCCTGCACACTTGCCAAACCTCTGTGAACGATACGCGTTTCCAGCCATCGTGGGACACTCCATATGTAAGTTTATGTCTTGTCCACGCTCACACATCACATGTAATGATACAGGATCGCAGTATGATATCATCTCGAAGAGCACTGCATGCGAGCCCTGTAGCATGCCGACTCTGTCTTCATGCATTGTGCAAAGATACGCTCCAAGCTCAGGGTACCTCTTTGGAAGAATAGCGCGCGAGACATACATGCTATGCTAGACGCTTCCCGTAACCCCACCGCCTCAAAACGATGACCGCGCAGCGCGAAGCCCGAAGTTGGGCAAACCTGACTGAAGGGGGCGGGAGCCAGGGCTTCTCGGCACGCCGTTGTAACCCACTGCTCGTGCCCTAGAATCTGGCATGTCAGGCTGGCAGCTTCTGGCCGCCCGCTGCCGTTGCCAGCCCGGACCGCAGCCCTGGCATCGCACAGAGACGCGGCAAGTGGTCCGTTGATCGTCGGCTTTGGAGAAAGACCCCTGGGAGGGCGGGGTCGCCCCCCAGTTCGGCATCCAGCGCCCACTGGGCCAATGCCCTGGAGGCCACGCGTCGTCTCTGGCCGTTGTGCTGTTGCAGACGAAGGCCTCGAACATTTTTAGGCATCGTCTGAATTAGCATCGTCCGAAAGACCGCCTGGACCGCCTCTTCACTCACCCCTCCTCCTCCTCCAAATCCTCCCTCCCCAGTCCCCCTCCTAGTCCTAGCCGTGTCGGGGCCCCGCTTCTCTGCGTCCTTACTAATGCTCACTTCGACACGGCGCGGCGTTAGCGAGCCATTTGGTTTCTTCCCGTCGCGCTCGTTTCCAGACTCCCCGTATGTCGCAGCGCAATGGCGGAGGCAGACGTCCTGTCCCCACCTGGTGCTCTCCCTGCGGCTGCAATAAAAACCTCATGTCGTGATAATGGTGCAAGCACTGCGGCAAGACGTGGCAGCGACCCTCTCAGGATCCAGCTCCTGGGTTTCGAGGCCCTTGGCAGGAAGGTGATGGTCTTCGTTTCTTTGGCAATGATCTTCGCCCTCGTCTACTCTGTGCCCCTCAATAGTTCTGGGTCCTCGGACTGCAAATACCCCCTGGACTACAGATGACTACAGGTACCCCGTCCCCGAACTACAGGAACCCCTCCCCCGGACTACAGGTACTCCCCCCCCCGGACTACAGGTACCCCCCCCCAGACTGCAGGTACCCCCCCAGACTACAGGTATCCCCACAGGACTACATCCACGCGTGCGTTGACGCGTGGACACGCGTTTCCCACCAGACTGCAAGTACCCCCCTGGACTACAGGTACCCTTTCCACTGATTACAGGTACCCCACCCCGGACTACTGGTACCCCCCCCCAGACTAAATGTACCCCTCCCCCGGACTGCAGGTACCCTCCCCGGACTACAGGTACCCCCAGAACTATTGAGGGACACAGAGTACGCCCTGGTTGTTTTCACCGCTGGAGCTCCACCGACCGCTGGTGCGGCTGTCGCTGGTGGTCCTGAAGGGGCCAGGACCGCAGGTCTGTCCTCCACCGACCTGGCCCTCCCTGGGGACCTCACAGGCAGGGCAGGCGACACGGACACGTCCAACCAGTACAAGATGCAGCTTGGGAGGCTCACGACCAAGTCACCCCCTCCAGTGCCGCTGGAGCAGCGCGTGCGCAGCGTCAACGTGAGCGGCGTTGTTTGGCCCACAAGTTGCAGCACGAACTTGCTCGACCAATGGGAGTTGGAAGTGGAGAGGCAGCGGACGTTCATCACATCGATTTCAGAGCAGCTCAGCACTCAGGAGCAGACATACCAGGAGCTCGTGGCAAGCTGGCTTCAGTGATCCGTCCAGGGAACACTTCGCCCTCCACCAAGGAGGCACCCGATATCAACATTGAGCACGTGGTCTCCGGTAAGATCTACGCGCTCCAGATCGACCTCGGCACGAGCCTGTCGTTTGGAGATGATGGCGACGACGACGAGTTCGACATTTCTCCTCAAGACCAGCAAGCGTTCGAGCTGCGTCAGCGAGCCCTGGTGGACGGCACCACCGCCATGTCCAAGGATTTTTTCGTTGAGGCATTCGAGCACGCGAAGCAGGTTCGTGGCCAGCATGCTCAGCATCGGGCCCGCCTTTCCAAGAAGAAACGCAATGCCAGGGCGGGGGCGCGGTCGCTGCAGATGGTGCTCCTGAGGCAGGCTCTGGGGATGGAGTTGGCAAGGCTCCTGGCGCAGCCGCTGCCGGCAGCGATGCCAGCGCCGCGGCGTCCTCAGCGGCTGCGGCATGTTCTTCCTCCTGTCCTGACCCTTCCTCCGAGGCGGCCCTTCTCTCTTCTGTCAAAGAGCGGGCTGCAAATGTGCGGTCCAAGGGGCCCCCCCGCCTGAGGGAGGAGAAACTTCCACGCAGCGTGCCGTCAGCCATCCACGGGGCCCGACACCGTTCAGGATTCGCTTCAGTTCAGCATCGTCAAATTTAGCTGGAATGCTTGGACCAGCGCCCGCGACTGGCTTCCCACTTGCACCGCCCACGTAGTTTTGGCTCAGAAGCAGAAGCTACAGTTTGGAGACTTTCTCCTCCTCTTGCTCCTGCTCCTCCTCCTTATCCTTTTTCCCTCTTCGCATCCTCTGCTCATCCTCCCCCTTCTCATCTCATCCTCATACCGCAGAGAGAGATGCCACGGATGATCGTCCGTGCGAGCAGGCGGGGACATCGCGCTGGAGAGCGACCCGCGTCATCATCATCCACGTCATCTTCTACTTATTCCTCGTCTTCCCCCTCTTCTTCAAGCGAGAGTCTATTTCTGGAGCCATGAGCAGATTTCATCCAACGGACAACAAAGGATGCGGAGCACCGTGCGTCAAAATTGGGACTTCGTGATTGGATCGAGGAGCGCCGCAAATCTGCCCGCAAATGGTTGCGGCGAATGTATTCGGAGGAACGTGCTTGGGCGAAACCAATATTTCAATGGGAGCCAGTCGGCTGCACGCGAGGCCCAGAGTGGCCGCGGAAACGCTGGTACGACGCCACAGTCAACTTCAAGGACTAAGGCGCTGAGGCGCCCCCGCCGCGCCCCTCGTGGGCCGTCCCCCCTGTGGGGCGACTGTCGGTGCTCTGCTCTCTATCCTCATCTTCATTATGCTGTATCGTTCGTTGCGGGGCTTGCCTGGCGAACTGCGGTTTCACACCCCTCTTCCTCTAACCTCCTCCTCCTCCTTTTCCTCCTCGTCCTCCTCCTCGTCCTCCTCGTCCTCCTCTTCCTCCTCATCGCTTCGTCTCGCTCCGCCTCCTTCCTTTTACGCAGAAAGTAGACGACCCGCGGGGACACCCGACCAGGGACTGGGGGCTTGGGTCTGCTGGTATCTGCTGGTTCGAAGGGGGAGGAGGAGAAGGAGGAGAAGGAGGAGGAGGAGGAAGAGGAGGGGGAACAGGAGGAGGGGGAGGCAGAGGGCGAGTAGGACATGAACTGTTATGGCTGTGGGGCACATTAACCCCGACGGCGGGACCAGCGACCTGGAGTATCACCCTGGTGTACCACTCAAAGTCAGGGTGGCGACTGGGCAAACGAAGGAAAAAATTGTGGTTCCGCAGAAACACCGATTGCTTCGTTCAAATATCATGTCCTGCCTCGAATTAACAAGTCAGTTTGGAACTAGTGCCCGGCGGGGCGGTGCTGCTGTGGGAGGTAAAAAGTGCAGGCCCTTGTTCGGGTTAAGCCGGGTTGCCTGAAAGATCAAGGGCGTTCCCGTGATTGGGAAGAGGAGGAGGAAGGTGGGACATACGGGGACTTGGGCGGGATGAGCATGCGGAGGTACCGTCAGAGCGGACCAGTCCTTCCTGCCTCTTGCCTCTTTCCTCCCCACCATTCCTTCTTCTGTAATTCATCCTTCCTTTTCCCTCATCCCTCGTCCCGCATCTCTCCGTTGCCTTCAGCCAGTGAGTGGGTGATGGGTGATGGAGGATGCAGAGTGAGGAGGAAGACGATGGGGAGAATGACAAGGAGGATGGTGGAGGATGGTGGAGGATGTGGGGGAGGGAGAGGAGGAGGAGGAGGAGGAGGAGGAGGAGGAGGAGGAGGAGGAGGAGGAGGAGGAGGAGGAGGAGGAGGAGGAGGAGGAGGAGAGAGAGGAGGAGGAGGAGGGAGGAGGAGGAGGAGGAGGAGGAGGAGGAGGAGGAGGAGGAGGAAGGAGGAGGAGGAGGAGGAGGAGGAGGAAGAGGAGGAGAGGAGGAGGAGGAGGAGGAGAGGAGGACGGAGGAGGAGGACGACGAGGAGGAGGACGAGGAGGAGGAGGGGGACGAGGACGAGGACGAGGAGGAGGAGGAAGAAAAAGAAGACGAGGACGAGGATGAAGAGGAGGAGGTGGAGGGGGAGAAGGAGGAGGAGGAGGAGGAGGAGGAGGAGGAGGAGGGGGTGGAAGAGGAGGAGGAGGAGGAAGAGGAGGAAGAGGAGAAGAAGGAGGACAGGTGTAGACCCAGTACGCATCAAAGATGCAAGAATACATCCCTCGTCTCGAGGCCCCTCCTCATAAGCCCCTGCAGGCACTGTCCTCCACCACGGGAAGCATACCATTGAAAGGCGACTGTTCCACATGCCCGCCATTGAGGCGAGATTCCTGTTTTGAGAAAGAACTGGCCTGAGGAGCGCCATAGGACCATGCAGTTAAAGGAAGTGGCTAGAGAGATCACTGTTTTGAACGGGGGCGTCCTCCATCCTGGTAGTTGCTGCAGAATGTCACACGACGTCGAGTCGACCATGTTGAAGGAGTCCCAAGCGAGAGCTCCATTTTGAAAATAAGCCGCCCTCCACCCTGGTGACTCTTGATAATTTGCAAGACGAGTCCTCGAGGCGCTACGAAGAGAGCCTCATCTTGAACACGGCCCGACGCGGGCCCCACTCGAACCATGAAACCAAGTCAGCGGCCTGGCAGGATCTCTGCGAGGCTCATATCAGCCATCCAAGGGAGTGCCATTTTAGAAAGGTGCAGTTCCACCTCCCACAAGGGGATGTTTGGTCCAAGTTATCCGAGAGGGCTTTGCCGCAAATGAGGCGGCAGATGAGTGCGCAGGGAATGGAGCCCGTCGTGCCAGGCTCCCCCAGCATATCATCCAGCAAGTGCGTGAAGTCGGAAAGAAGGCAGCTCGTGCGCAACCCTACAAGTGGCAATTCAGACCCCATCCCTTTACTCGGCCACCTCCCATGCTGATCGCGTGGCCCGCAGTCGTGCTTTCAGGGCCCAGCGTGCAGCGAGCCTTAAGAAAACGCTGCAGGAAAGACCACGCAGCGTGGTCGAGAAGGGGGAGTCTAAGTTTTGCACCGCCTATCGAGGGTGCCCAATCAAGGAGTTGGGAACGCTGAGTTGGTTTGTCCCGCAGTGCCTGGGTAAACCCCACCGAATCCACCAGGTGTCGTAAGTGTGGGGGGCTTACGGCAGTGCGAAGATAAACAAAGGTCTACAGAGCCTCTGCCACCCCCCTCCACTGATTTGGGTGAGGAGGTGGTGTCTAAAATCATAAACGGCCGCCCATTCCCAGGTCAGAAGGCCTGGCCAGACGTGCTGGGCCAGGAGCATCGAGCAGAGGAATAGTTTTGCAACGCGCGCGTCGGCCCTCAGTTTCATGTGTGGATCTTGGGACTTGGAGTGTGCGCCAGGTGGTGGTGGAGGAGGAGGAGGGGGAGGAGGACAAGAGGAGGAGGGGAGAGAAGGAAAAGGTGAGGAGGAGGAGGAGGAGGAGGAGGACGACGAGGAGGAGGAGGACGGCTTGTCCCTCTTGCTGCCAGGCGCTGGGCGCCCGGAGGCGTTGGCCGTGTGCGGCAGCCGCCGCGCAGCCCCGCGCGCGCGGGCCGCTCTGCTGGGCGCCGGCGCTGATGCTGCGCCGCTCTGCTGCAGCGGCGCAAAGCCGCAGCGCGCCGCTGGCTGCGCCGCGCGCGAGCGCGCGCCCGCCGCGTCCAGCGGAATCTGCCGGGCCTTGGCGCAGAAACAGCAGGGCGGGCGCGGCCGCCTCGCCCGCTGTTGCCCCCCTTTCCCCTCCCCCCCCTGCCCCCCCCCTCTTTCTGCAGAGGAGGCCATCTGAGATGTCGGCGGCCCTTCTCCTCCTCCTCCTCCTCCTCCTCGTCCTCTTCCTCCTCCTCCTCCTCGTCCTCCTCCTCCTTCTCCTTCTCCGTTGCCATTTTGGCTCAAGGGGTTTTCCAGGAGCGGGCAGCCTCATTCAGCGGGCGATCATGACTGTCGTGATCATGCGGGCACTTACGTATTGTTTTTCCTCCAACCTTTCGTTCCAGTGCTCTCCTGAGCTCACCATGCGTGGGGCCACAGACGCTCCAGTCACCACGGCCGCAATGAGAGCGCTGGTGGGCGAGTTCATGACGACGGTCGACACGAAGATCAAAGAAGCCGTCGCCCCCATCACCGCGAATATGAACACCAACAGTGCGGAGCTTGTCAGGCGGATCAATCTCGCCCGAGCCGAGTTGAAGGAGCATGATGCCAGGACCAAGGTACTAGAGTCCAGCGACAACAGTTCCGCCCTTCCGTCGAGTACATCATTCTCATCAGACCGCTCGAAGTCAAGGAGAGGGCAGCCGGTCATCCACAACTTCCACCACCTCTCCGACTGATGCGGGGAAGGTTTGGATCGGCACGTGGCCTCGCCCTGTTCTCGATAAAGTTGGACGTGCCCATTTCGAGCAGGTGAAAGCGACCTCCCCGATCGCCGCCAATGCGGAGGGTGAGTTCCATCGAGTTCCCCAGTCGTACGTCATCATTTTGCAGACTCCAGATCAGGCCAAAGAGTTCCGCATCCAGGCGGGTGTCACTACGATGCAGTGGATCGACCCGAGGAACCAGAGGCAGTACACGCTCCGTGCCAGGGGCGACTTGCCCGAAGACGTGAGGGACAAGCAGCGAGCCTTGTCGAAGCTATTCATCCCGATCCGCGACCTGTGTCAGAAGAGCGCGAACTGGCCCCCTAACTGTCGTGTTGAAGTCGATGGTTTCAAGGGCAGACTCTTCGTGACCAACGGCGACGACATCTGGACGCTCATCGCGACCAACCAGATCTCCATGGACAAGTTCAACTTCGTCCCCGTCGGCGACGAGCTTTCCGACCGGGGGGTAAACATGCCGCAGGTCGAGGCGATCATCGCGGCAGCGCGCTAGGAGGCTCCGCTACGGCACTCTCGTCATGCTGCAGGCGGGGGCGAGCCTGCTCAAGATGACGCTCGAGCGCAATATGGAGCCATCGAAATGTTTTTTCCAAGCAAGGTTTTCAGCATCTGCACCTGGAACTGTCAGACTCTCTTCTACTCCATCCACTCCCCCATCTCGCGCAGCAAGCCAACGTTCGACGTCGCGAGGCGCCTCATGGGCAAGCGCTCCATCGCGCGCGTGCAGGGGGTCCACGGGTGTCCTGGGGATCTGCGCACTCTTCGCAGTGAACTACCCGATGTGGAGGTGTTCGGGTCGTTCGACTCTTCCGAGTGCGCCGGCGGCATTGTCGCGCTCGTCCAGTCCAAGCTGTTCTCTGAGTTCAGCGCCTCCTCCTTTTCTGAAGTTGTCCAAGGTAGAGTGTCTGCGATGTCCCCATGGGGCCGCGGGGGCGACGTCAGGTCGCCAACGTTCATCTCGTGCCCGACTGGAGCGAGTCGCGCACCAAGGCTGTCCTCTTCGCGCTTCGCGCGTTCCTGGCCACGGCTTGGTTCGCCTCTATCTCCCTCGCGGGGGACTTCAACTTCTCGGTGTCTGGGGAGAGCAGATTCGTTGTTCTGGGCTGGCGAAACTCTCGCGTCGTTCTCTCGTATCGCCAAGCACTTCGATACCATCTTCACGACCTATCTCGAGATCGACCAACCGCATTACACTCACTGTTCGAACGTCAGATCTGCTCCGAGCTTCGCCCGACTCGATCGCATCATCGCCAGCCTCTCGGCCCCGATCGCCTTGGACTTCAACCCGATCTCAACCGCCGATATCGATATCACCGGTCGATGCCTCCCTTCGGATCATGCCCCTGTTCATCTCGTTCTTCGCCACTTTCATCGGCCCAGCGGTTTTCACAGTGATAATGATGATGAATGTGTCGATCCTCTTCCTCCCATTCCGCGCTGGATTTTCATGCATCAGCAGTTTCGCGTCTTTTTCGACTCGTTGGTGGAGGCCAACAAGATCAGCCACCACCCGCCGACTGCATTCCGCGAGGTGAAGGGCCCCATGCATGCAGCGGCCCGAGAGGTTCGCTATTTCGTTGAAGAACACGGGGCCCGATGCAACCCATCCAAGGCCGCTCTTTGTCTGAAGCTCTTGAGGGCCCACCGTGGGGGCCGCGGGCGAGGCGCTCTCAAGGCCGCTGCTGGGTTCGAGGAGTTCAAATAAGCTTACAACACGAATGATATGGTTTGGTCAGACTTCCCAGGGTTTCTGGCACATTCTCGGCAAATGATAATCCAGGAATTCACCCGTGAGGAAAACGCCATCCGACAGGGCCCTGACCTCACGAGTGCCCAGAAGGACTCCCGCTTGGCTCAGGTCAGGCGGATGTCTGCTGCGCGGGCGAGGACTCGCCCCAAGATTGTCTTAGCCTCGGTCGTGGATCCAGGCGGCCAGCGCACCGCCGAGCCAGATAAGGTGGCCCAGGCACTCGTTGAGTGCTGGGGGGCGGTCTTCGCGACCAAGCCGCACGCTGCTGCCCGCCTTTCTCCTCTGCTTGAAGGGCTCTCGCCAGTAACCAGCACCGAGGGCCAATTTGCCACTTCGACCCGCACCCGCCGCGATTTGATTTTGTGTCAGGAAGCGTTATGTTCCCTCACTTCCCGCAAGAAGGATTCGGCTCCTGGGCCCGACGGCATCAGTTACTCTGGCTGGAGGGCGGTTGGCGATCTGGGCCACGACGTCCTCTACTCCCTCTATACCCACCTCCTCGAGTTTAACCGGCCCGACCGCACCTTCAACTTTTGCAGAGTGATATTCCCCCCGAAGGGCGCTCTCTCTGGAAGTGGGGGCGAAGCGAGACCCCCCGTGCATTGCGCTAGACCGCTGCCCTTAAGTAGCACTGACAACGCCATCGCCTCAGCTGCCGTCTCTTGCCCGCTCAACGCCGTTGCCGCCGGCATCGTCGATAGCTCGCAAAGGGGTTTCGTCGCTGGTCGCTCGCTCATCGATAACCTCGTCGAAGTTGACGATCACTATCATTTGCGGGGACAACTCTTTGACCTTGAGGACAGCGGGGCCACGCTGTTCGATTTTAAGCAGGCCGCCCCATCGGTCTTCCACGACTGGATCCAGGTTGTGCCCGCCAAGATTGGCATTCCTGCGTGCATCCGTTTCGCCGCTGCCGCATTGTGCGCCCAGATCTGGACGATGGTGCCGATCTCTGGAGCTCAAGGTTTCGGTTTTTCCCCCGCGCGTTTCGCGGGGCTCTGGTTTTCTTCCCTGCCGCGCCCCGCCCGCGACGCTCACTCACTCGCCCACCTCCCTCTCCCCCTCTTCCCTCTTCGCCTCTCCTCACCCGCGCGTGTCGCACCCGCGGCTCTCACCTCGCCTGCCCCCCTGCCCCTTTTCCTTTTCAAGCTGCACAGCATCACGCAGCGCAGCACAGCACAGCACAGCACAGCGCAGCAAAGCCCAGCACAGCACGCAGCTGCACATCACTGCACGGCGCAGCACAGCGCAGCGCAGCGCAGCGCAGCATAGCACAACACAGCTGCACATCACAGCACAGCGCAGCACAGCACGGCGCAGCGCAGCATAGCACAACATCTATGCGGGCCATGGCGCAGGGCGTGGCAGATGCGGCACTTGCTCGACATCGTAGGGGGTGCGCAGGGGGTGGTCCCCGAGCGCGGCGTCTATGCGGGCCATGGCGCAGGGCGTGGCAGGTGTGGCACTTTCTTCACCCCGTGGGGGGTGCACAGGGGGTGGTCTCCGAGCGCGGCGTCTATGCGGGCCATTGCGCAGGGCGTGGCAGGTGTTGCACTTTCCTCACCCCGTAGGGGGTGCGCAGGGGGTGGTCTCCGAGCGCGGCGTCTATGCGGGCCATGGCGCAGGGCGTGGCAGGTGTGGCACTTTCTCGACCTCGTAGGGGGTGCGCAGGGGGTGGTCTCCAAGCGCGGCGTCTATGCGGGCCATGTCGCAGGGCGTGGCAGGTGTGGTGCTTTCTCTGCCTCGTAGGGGGTGCGCTGGGGGTGGTCCCCGAGCGCGCGTCTATGCCCGCCATGGCGCAGGGCGTGGCAGTGTGGCACTTTCTCGAACTCGTAGGGGTGCGCAGGGGTGGTCTCCGAGCGCGCGTCTATGCGGGCCACGGCGCAGGGGTGGCAGGAGTGGCACGTTCTAAACCTCGTGGGGGTTGCGTAGGGGTGGTCCCCCGAGAGCTGCGGTCTATGCGGGCCATGGCGCAGGGCGTGGCAGGTGTGGCACTTTCCTCGACCCCGTAGGGGGTGCGCAGGGGGTGGTCTCCGAGCGCGGCGTCTATGCGGGCCATGGCGCATGGCGTGGCAGGTGTGGCACTTTCCTCACCCCGTAGGGGGTGCGCAGGGGGTGGTCTCCGGGCGCGGCGTCTATGCGGGCCATGGCGCAGGGCGTGGCAGGTGTGGCACTTTCTCGACCTCGTAGGGGGGTGCGCAGGGGGTGGTCTCCGAGCGCGGCGTCTATGCGGGCCATGGCGCAGGGCGTGGCCGGTGTGGCACTCGCTCGACCTCGTAGGGGGTGCGCAGGGGGTGGTATCCGAGCGCGGTGTCTGTGTGGGCCATGGCGCAGGGCTTGGCAGGTGTGGCACTTTCTCGACCTCGTAGGGGGGGCGCAGGGGGTGGTCCCCGAGCGCGGCGTCTATGCGGGCCATGGCGCAGGGCATAGCAGGCGCGGCACTTTCTCAACACCGTAGGGGATGCGCAGGGGGTGGTCCCCGAGCGCAGCGTCTACGCGGGCCGTGGCGCAGGGCATAGCAGGCGTGGCACCTTCTCGACACCATAGGGGGTGCGCTCTCCGAGCGCAGCGTCTATGCGGGCCATGGCGCAGGGCATTGCAGGCGTGGCGCTTTCTCGACACCGTAAGGGGGTGCGTAGGGGGGTGTCCCCGAGCGCGGCGTCTATGCGGGTCATGGCGCAGGGCATGGCAGGCGTGGCACTTTCTCGACACCATAGGGGGCGCGCAGGGGGTGGTCCCCGAGCGCGGCGCCTATGCTGGCCATGGTGCAGGGCATTGCAGGCGTGGCGCTTTCTTGACACCATAAGGGGTTGCGCAGGGGGTGGTCCCCGAGCGCGGCGCCTATGCGGGCCATGGCGCAGGGCATCGCAGGCGCGGCACTTTCTCAACACCATAGGGGATGCGCAGGGGGTGGTCCCCGAGCGCGGCGTCTATGCGGGCCATGGCGCAGGGCATGGCTGGCGTGGCACTTTCTCGACACCATAGGGGGTGCGCAGGGGGTGGTCCCCGAGCGCGGCGTCTATGCGGGCCATGGCGCAGGGCATAGCAGGCGTGGCACTTTCTCGACACCATAGGGGGTGCGCAGGGGGTGGTCCCCGAGCGCGGCGTCTACGCGGGCCATGGCGCAGGGCGCGGCTGGCGCTGCACTTTCTTGGCACCAAAAGGGGTTCGCAGGGAACGGTCACCAGCATCAATCTCACATGCTTCGCTTCAGCTATCATCACTCCAGCCATCATAGAAGTATGTGGGGTTGGTCGGGTAATTTGTTTTCCCGTGGCATGAAACAAGGCTGCCCGATTTGTGGACGTTTATTCGCGATTATCCTGAACCCAGTTCTTGCTTGTACCAGTCGCCCTACCCGTTCATTATCCCAGCCTTCGCAGATGACCTTGCGTCGGTTGCGAAGAACCTGCCGCAGGTGCTCCCCATTGCCGTCAAAGAACTGGCGTTCGCCAGCCAGTGGACGGGGCTCATCCCCAACCTCGACAAATGCCACATTGTGATGCTACGCGTCCCCGATAAAGACACTGCGACCCGCCTCTTCCAGAACGCCCCCCAAGAAAATGCATATAAAGAAATTATCGTTCGGTTCCTCGGGCCTCTACCTCGGCATCATCGTCGGCCCTGACGGATATCGCAGAAGTGGGCGCGCACCTGCGGCGAAGTTATGTGAGAGATGCACGTGCGTCAAGACTATGAAGTCGGCTGAACCCCCCCCTCTCCGCCTACAACACCTTCGCCCTTCCTGTCGCGCCCCGCGTCGCCCAGTGCTACTGCCCTAGCCCTCTTGTTTTGAATGGGGCTCGAGAAGGACCCCAAAAGGCTCACCAACGCCCCGGGGCTCGCGTTTGCGCGCCCCCCCCCCCCCCCCCCCCTCCACCGCTTCAAGAAGCTCGGCCTCGAGTGCGAGGCGCGCGATTTGGAGACCATGGCTCCTGCGGCGATGTTGAGAGCTGCGATCCGCTCCGAGGCTTTCGACCGCACGTGCCAGTGGCTGTCAGAAGTACTAGAAGACGATGACCACTGCGTTGCCCCTCTTGTCAGACTTCCTGGTGGTAAGTCCATCGTTGTCTGCGTGAAACGTGTCCGCGATGCATATCATGCGTCTC